GGGGGGGGGGGGGGCGGGGGAGAACGGCCCACCTCACCATTCATCCTCGATCGGTAACTCACTCAAAAAGTACTTTTGTTTGTTTACCGAGAAGTTAGTTCATTCGGACTGGACCCGGTCTAATCGGTGACATTTGACGGCCAGCACACCAATCATCATGTGAGGTTTGCAATGGAGTGCGACTGGTTGGATTCACTTGAAGTTACAACGGATTCACTTGAATTTGAAAAGGTATCGTGGTAAGGGAACACGCAATCAAGGGAACCGGGACGAAAACAAGTCTATACGTAAACCCGGCTCAGATATAATGAGTGACCGGTGATGCTTTAAAATATTCTTTCTTAGGCAACCTAATGGTTCTGAAACCCAAGAAAAGAAATGCTCAAGTAGCATTATGTTGAACACTATTTGTAATCATTTATATTCGTATTTTCCTTCTGCTTTTGAAATCCTGAAGAAACTGTTGCGCAATATCTGTTTCACTCGATGTCACTCAGTTCAGCGAAATTTCTCAAAAATGGTTATTCCTTCAACCTCAATGTGAATTTCATTGCCTGGGCCACATTGAGGAGAGTATTACAGTAAACTTTTTCTAACACAGTTGTTCTGTTTTACTGCCAAAATATCCATCACGGAATCCAATTGCTTATTGTGCACATTCAAAATACTTGGATGACTAAATGTGCACAATATTGCCTATGCTTTCCTCCAGCATGTGATCTTTACGGGTTCAGCAGTGGCGTGTTTGGGTTCGCGTCACTGACGACAATGGTTGTGATTTCCCTGGAACGCTACTTTGCAATTGTTTGGTGCGTTGTACCTGGAATGCGACTTTCTCGTCGACGAGCCTGGATTAGCATTGTGTTAATATGGATCTGGGCCGCAATTTGGCCATCTCCACCTTTGTTCGGTATCGGTAAGTTTTCATCATGAACAGCTGTTTATTTTAAACCGAATATAGTTCGCTGGATTGATGATAACAATGTATAGGCTAAGGCTTTTCAAGTTTAAATAGCCGATTGTCAAGATAGTTCCGTTTAATTTCTATCAAACATACTTGTTGTAGCAAACATTCCTCTACAGCAATTGCAACATGAATTCAGCAATCAATAGATCTTTATTTGACAACATTGCCTGTCTGTTGTCAGTAGATCATCTTAATCCAGAAGCTTTGTATTGCACATATTGCTCGAGCTTCTGTAAAATCGAATTTTTTGATTGTTTAAAAGACACTTAAATCACATAACGAATTGGTCGATCAGAAACTATGGCCATTTCCATCAGGCCGATTCAACTAAAGTGTATGTAAGCCTTTTAGGGATCAAATGGGTTGCGAGCAGATGTTCGTAAAATGCAACAAAGTAGGATAGTTGAATCATCTGTACCATGCCTATTGCCTACTTTACTCGTGCTTTTTTCGTCAATAACTTGTTTTTCAGCTCACAGTGAAGTATGGAATGCATGATTGTCAAAACGTTGAGAACAATTAACCCATTCGGTTTTTAATAGGCACCAAGCACTCTTGATGGACTTGGGTGTGGGTTTCACTGATTGGGAGATCATTAATTCCCTGCAAGTTCATGCATTTACATGCAATGGAAATGTTTGTGATAACCGAAAGAACACGGAACATCTGTTTCACCCTGGTTGGGACTCGTCAGCAGAGCCTCCCAACAATCGAATGAAGTAATCCAAGCTCGTTATCGTATAATTAAATGAGCAGTTTGCACAAGGTGGTGACCGTCAACTGTGTAGCTCAGGGGTAAGGGTTTGAAGTTCCAACCCCAAAGTTAGCGGTCCAAGTCCTGACAGAGACACAAATAAATATAAATATAAATTTCTGAAATTCTTCGAAAAATTCATCAGATAACCTGATTGTCAAAAGTCAGTTCTTCAGGAAATGCTCTCCATATATTTTCTCTAGTCCACTGGACACGAATCACATTTTTGGAGGGAATCACGGGCGTTTATATATAAGCCTGAACCAATCAGATTGTTTGGTCTGTAAAATTGAAGTTTTATACGGACCAATCATAAAAACACAGTTGATGCAGTAAAACAAACAGTCAATTCAAACAACATTTTCCAGCATATCATTCTTCTTTTGAAAGTTTTTCATTATGATCTTGATTGGTATACTCATCCACTTCGTATCCGGGATGCAGATTGTGCTGTCATACCCGTCGTTGGTATTCCTTGCTACGATTCTTGTACACATCCTTCATATCCTCCTGAACGGTATTTGGATCTTCTCTTTCTTCGTCTTCGTCACAATTCTCTTTCCCTTTC